GCCTGGATCTGCTCCTTAAACTGGATCTGACACCATTTAATGAAGGTTGTTGTATCAATTTAGATCTTAAATTCCACAAAATCTTCACTAACTATTTGCGGGGGGCGAGAGTTTTATGAAATCATCATCAGATAAACAAAACTTTATAAAAAGATCAGTACTGGTCTTCTGATACAATGCATGTGTCTTAGTAAGTAACCACTTCAACTTAGTTTTATGTAATTACTGCGTGCAACAATGCATCAGAGATTGCTGTCAAAAGTGCCCAGTATGCACAGAAAATCAAGGATTCACATATTGAAGAAGTGACACACAGGACCTAGTCTTTTGTCCAGGCCTCTAAGGGTAGAAAGTTTCTTTCCGTTCAAAGGCTTCCTTTCATCCGAAAAGCAGAAGCAAAAACGGGACGTCGTACTTTTTCAAAGCTTTTCGAAGGTTGCCAGAATGAGGACTTAAATTAAAAGACATGTAATTACACATTCGTTCAGAATGTCCTGCGGACAATTGTCGGTGGAAGGTTATTCTACAAATGAAGCGTTTGATATGGGGAAAACTGCTGGTAAATGAAAGTACCTACTCTGGTTTGAAAATCTATTTACCCCGTCTCTGCGCTATATCGGCACTCAATGTGCAACTTCTATTGATCGCGTCTTTTTAAACAAGGCGCAAGAAGAGTTCGGTACACTTACAGACGACGATTTCATGGATGAAACTGTTGAAGCATCTCACGATGCGTTTTGTTATCGACGTATCTAGGGCGGGCAGCGAAATACGCACCGGCTTTCTAGACTCAGTCGACAAGGACGGTCACTTTTTGTATCTCGAGGAGAGTGTTGAATAGCATATAGGAAAATCGGACCGACATACGTTCCATATTGTGCCCGAAAGTCTACGCGAGTAATAAGGTGTGTGTTGCGCCAAGTCCTTCAAAGTTACCAATGACACTCCAGCCACTCTTTTGGGATCCAGCCGGAGAACTATGCCCAGAGATAGCCAGAAAACTGAATGCTTTCTGATACTAAGAATTGTCGTGCCGCGGCTCTTTCCCAAGACGCATGAACAAGACATTTGCGGAGTCTTGAGGGCGATATATGGACGCGATTTTGTCATTGAGAGTAGGGAGACAGTAAATTGAGCACTACTTTGCGCGGTCGAAGTCCACTTATAGGGCATTCGCATTGGAATTCCGGAATGAATGATGTCACACGTGAAATGTCGGAAAATTGGGCCAAAGAAGGGGCGGTTCCAAGACAGCATCAAGGTAATACGATGGAGACCGGCGCAGAATAGGTGGTTAATCACACAATCACTCAAAACTTTTTGCTAGCAGAAAAATCTGATCTGGTACAGAAGTTTCCGACGAAATTAATGTGTTCTGTATAAACTGGAACTGGAACGTGTAAATATTGATTGGATGCATATGATTACTTGAAAAATATGGTGTATGGCGTGGGCCACCGCCCGTGATTCGGGTTAAGCTGTCCAAAAATATAAGCTTGCTTGTCATCAAGAACGGTCCGAAGGCTGTTGAGATATTAGTAGCTAGATTATTTAGAACCAACCACCGCGGAATGTGTTACATTGCAACTTGCAGTGATGTCAATATGCCAGCAGACACCGAGGGATCGGCGGTCACCATTTTTGCATGGTGCCTTGACATGGCTGCCTTCTAACGATGTTTGACGAGCCATCGTTATAACTACTGTCTACCTGAGCGTATTTTAGGTCGGGACCCTTGAGTGAGCTTTGTAACACCCTAACGATTTGATGTGGTGCGATGGTGGAATGTACGACAATAAGTTGCTTTCCCCATAGGCCTTAAATACTGCTGCAGCCACCCGTTCATCCTCCGTTTCTGCTTCTCCAGATAGAAGTTTGTTTTAATCTAAAGCGGTATTCGATTAGCGTGGCTTTTTTCAGGGTGAGCTTAGTAAGGTGACATTTTTTTAGAATTTCTGTATTACAACCATCCATAAACATAAGAAGCACCGATTCCATTTCGTATTTTCCTGTAATTATTTTTTGTGGAATGGTGCGCGCATCGATTCCAGAGACTCCGAATAATTTTGGGTTGCCCCTTATTCGCTCCGTCAGATGGAACTCTACGGTACATCGTGAGTTCTTAGATAAAGCTCTTTTTAAGACCACTTTGCTGTCTCGTAAGCCTTGTTTCCGTAATCCAGTTGCGGCCACGTGTAGTATTATTTATTGCGGTCACCCTAGTCATGATCGGCGCTTTACCGTTGATGGTGTACAAGTGTATTCACTCACCGTACCGGTCTCCCTTCATCACAATTTCCTGGCTATTCCCAACTATCGTCTAATTTAGAGGTGATTTATCGGGAACGACAAAGTGCAAGGCTTTTTTTGACAGGGTGCGAAGTCACTATGGTAGTATTTCCGACGCCATACCAAACGTGACAGCCCCCCGTATTTCACAACATCTCGGTGTTTCTCCTAATGGGCGCGTCACCCACTGACACAACAGCATCTCACTCAGCTGACCGTGTGCCACAGATTTAAAATGCTGACCATCCTGACCCAATGTCAGGGCGTTCTCTTCATAAAGTTATCCATAATTTCTACGAGGGGCATTTGCTTTTATGCACTATCGACGGTACCCTCCCCGGTACGTTCGATCAACAAGTGCTCATACATCTAACAATAATAACCGTGCCAATTATCCACCCAATATACATTCCCATGATGGAAGGCTACTTTCTGCTCCAGTTGGCCTAAGAATCGTTCGTTATACACATTTCGCTGCATGGTTAGGAAAATCCTTGAAATGCTCAAGGGAAATCAACTTTCTAATTGCTTATCACCGTTCAACTCTTTCAAGTCGTGTTTTTAAAATGCACCAGCGGGTACAGTCCCGTCATTCCATAGTTAAGTTTTCCCACCGTCCTATGGCATGCTGCGCGCATTCCACTTGCATTCCAAGGTCACCGAAGTCCGTTGTGTTTGGAACGTGTCAGTTTCACGTGACCCTATTTATGATGGATCATACCTATGTTTATACACCTAACCTATACCCTGTATCCTTGATCAACGGGTATTAGCGTCCGGTGTGCGTATATTGGGGATATTGTCATGGTCATGTCTAAAGGCATGTCATAAGTCGGGAGTAGGTTTCTATGGCGGTGTTGAAATCGATGCCAAAGAGCATGTATTACTGAAGAGTGTGTAGCAAATAAGATATGCATTTTTAAGAAGGCGCGTTAAAAGTTCTAACTCCGCGTTTAAATTTCGAAGCCCCCAGGCCTAGTAGAAGACAAAGTCAAAAGTAACCTTTTTCATCACATAGGCAACAAAGAATCTTTCGTTTGTGACAGACAGGTCCAGTTCTGAGTGTAGATATATGTTCAAAAAGTCTATTCACTGCACCAGCGTATTGAGTGAATAACATTCTGTCGAACGGCTTTAGTTAGCACCGGTGCAAAACGTCCACCAGTCCCGACGTGCTGGAACTCCATCCTGGAGTAGTGTGAGACATTTGGTCGCCTAACAGCAAAAGACGTACAGAACCATAGCTGGAAAAAATAGGCTCAGCCACCTGTGAGGGGAGTAAATCCGCCTTCAGCGAATTGATAGGCCTAGCTAAGCGTCTGTCTAGCTTAGTGCAGTCTGAACCCGCAGTGAATGGAAATTACGCGGGAGTGGAATGAGGGGGGAAATGAAAGTGGGCATAGTGAAGTTTAATTAATAAACGAGGTCATTCGCATTCCCGCACTTCCGGTTGGTCCAGAAATTGAGGTGGTTGCCTCCGAATATCTCAGTATCAGAGATGTATGATGTGACCCAAGTCCACTGAAGTGTAATTATTGATGAGAATTCAACGGAATTCGACTGCCAAAAGCTGGGATGCTAATCTGGAAGGCTGAAGTAGTTGTTGGACAAGTGTTGCAGCACAGCAACAGCTGCCTCTAGGATCAAGGAGCAGCGAAGGTTGGAAACAGCGGAGAGGTTATGAGAAGTAGTAATTCCGCATCAGGTTTGATTAGAAAGCATGAAGGCACCCCGTGCAACGCATCTGTCTGCTATATGCCTCATTGATTCCAATGCTCTGGTTACTTCCAGAAAATTCATCTTGATGCGCCGACATCCGGTCTGCATCGTAGTCCTGCATTCACGTTTCCACAACCCTCATGCGATTCATCCATACGGACAAAACCCGAAGTTAACCCCACGACTGTTCACGATCTTGTCTTCTTCGTAGGAACGGGACCCCGTCAATATTTACTTCCAATTCCCTAGGGAGTTTCCCGGATCCCATCCAGCTCAGCTCGATTTTTTCGGGCTTGAAAATATCCGTGTAGGCACAGTAACTCACTCTGTGTCCTTGCATGTTTATAAATGTATGCTTGACCATAATCTCCGTTCCTTACGACCCGGTAGATTTACCGATTCCACTTCAGACTATCCGCAGGAATATGAACAAGCACGATATCAGTAAAAAAACACGTAAACAGATGCTCTCCTCTTCAGCCTTTTATACCTTCAGCGAACCCGATGACATGAACATGCTTGAAAATATCCGTGTAGGCACAGTAACTCACTCTGTGTCCTTGCATGTTTATAAATGTATGCTTGACCATAATCTCCGTTCCTTACGACCCGGTAGATTTACCGATTCCACTTCAGACTATCCGCAGGAATATGAACAAGCACGATATCAGTAAAAAAACACGTAAACAGATGCTCTCCTCTTCAGCCTTTTATACCTTCAGCGAACCCGATGAGCATGAACATGCAACATTTCACTGGACCCCCTGAAGGGATGGTGGAAGGGTAACCCAAAAAAACACGGTGTCTCGAGTACCGAAAAGGGTGCACGGGAAAACGAGTTTGCACTCCCATAACGGTTAGAACCAACATGAAATCATTTGACAAACGATATCTCTATCAAACTCTCGGAATTCCGGTTCAAATGACCAATGATAAATTTAGGCTGAACCTATATCAGAACTAACCATCAATTGCATTCTGTTGAGGTCAACTGACGTTTCAGTTTTGAATGGTGTAGGTGTTGCCGATGGTCACTCGTTGGTTCTGGATAGTTTTTGGTGTATTTCTGGGTAATTAGAGTAACTGTAAACCAATTCTGGTAAAGGAAATATTTTTAGGTCATCAAGTGAGGAATACTCATGTGAAAATACCATTTGCAATCCTCGGGCGGGCGATCTACTCATTGGACGGGAGAGTTCTTTGTGGGCTTCTTCAACATGTGGATTGAATGAAGTGGAAGCATACTGTGTCGTCACAACAAGTGGAAGGAGTTTTTGCAAGGAGTGTACATCTAGTCAGCCGTATAATGCCCTAACAAATCCAGAAAGTCATCGAATTGACAATGTGGTTTCTCGAGTACCGAGCAATCCTGGGCGATGGTGAGTTTGAACCATGCATTAATACTTTTCGATTTCGATCTAAAACTGGTGCATTCACTTTTGATCGGGGAGTGCGCTTACTTGGACTATAGATAGTGAAAAAGACGCTATGAATGCTCCAGGATTTGATGGTTGGCATAGGAATATTAGTTGTGACCGTATTGCAAGCAAGCGTATTTCTCTCACGCAAGCTTTCCGATGAACAAGTGGAGAAATGAAAACGCTGAGACGCAGTAATTTATCTGGAATAGTATAAGCGGTCGTAGAGCTCATGTGGTTAGTAGTAGCACACCTTTAGTCATCGTTCTCTGAGTTGGAATAGAAAATCAGGTCGAAAGCTGACGAGGTGAGTTGCCTCAACCAAAAGATCTAACATGAACAGTGAACTGTGCCACTGTGCGTATACTGAACGTAAAACGGGATTTGATCCTATGTGAGAAAGATGCATGTAGTTTGTGCACTAAGCTAAAAAATGTTAGTAGAAAAGCTTTCCAGTATGCGAAGCAATTTTCAAAATTGCGTTCTTTCTCACACACGGATCGGAGCAGCATCTACTAAAACAGGTTAATAAAGCTCTATGTGATGGACGGTGAAGTGAATGCGGTAATATTTGGTCTTATGTGTGGCGAAATGAAGGACCCGAACAAGAAGGAAGGCGAGATTGCACGGCATCTGGCGAACAATTGGGACGAAAGCGAGGATTTGGACGCGCTGATGTGCAATAAATCAACGGAGGTAGGGTTCAAGTTGGCATAAGGCGAGTATACTTTTCAGGGCCTTCGTAGTTTCCAAGTACCTTTTCAATTTCATTCCGGTGTCCACAAATCGACGTTTGGATTGCAGCATGCGTGCAACTCCCAATTAAGGAAAAATTTTATCGTTTTTGTTGTCTTCTTCTTATGTTAAACTAGCCCTTATGCTCATCACTAAAAGTCAGCAGTCTGCAGAAATTAGCTTGGGCGGAGTGATTCTGGCACTACGAGAAAGTGCAAGCGCACGTGGTAACAGCCTGAGCTCCTTCTACTTTAAAGGTAAGGATGGAGGTTATTGGCTGGATGTGTTAGGTTTTCCCTAAAACTCTGTCTAATTTGTCGCGTCTATTTCATCCAAAATTCCAATAGGGTGTTTGACGATAAGCCCATATAAAATTCTTCAGTGTCTCTAAAAGATGGTCTTTTAGTTGAGGGGCGCTCTTTCTGAAGCGTTCAACGTGCAAGCCACCATAGGTAATATGATGTGCACAGCACGTAAATTGATCCGATATTCGTTTGCTTAAAAGCCCATAAATTCCAAAATTTCACCTTTCATTGTTCCTAAATTTAGTTGTTTCGGCTCTTCCTGTGCCTCATACAATCCAGTTTGGTTTAGAAGACTCTAGTGGCACACTAGAATATTGCTTGCAATGGTTACTCATTCTTCAACCCGCTGGTAACAACCAGTGAATCACTACATTCCGTCGCATCCAATTATAGTTGACAAGCAGACAAAGGTGAATCAATGTTTCTTCTAGAACCAAAGCTCCACGGCGCCAACAGCCTCCTTTTTTCCATGAGGATGTGATGCGAATGTGGATAATTCTTTGACAAACTAAACAGTCTGTTCTTCTGAAAGAGTTTCCTTTATCCGGTCACTTATTTTAAGATTATTAATTTAAAAGTGCTTGATAAATTACCGGTGAGCAAACTCTAAGTGCCTTCTCTGCGATAATGAGCGCGTAGGCTGAATATGAACGAAAACCAAGGTAGACAGGTAGCTTATTACTATTTCATGACTTTACAGATCCTATAGAGTATGCTGGCAGTCCATTATGTGATGCTGGATAAGTAACTAAATAACCCTCTTCCAACTAACACGTTAAATACGACCCGCAGAAAGGCCATGACACCTATTTTACAGATTAAACAAATCCTTCCCTATGTAACATTATTCACAGTCATTACAGGCTTTTCTTGCTTTGAGAAAAAAGGGTGCAGCATTAACGGAGTAAACAACATGTTTCACCTTTGTGTAAGTGCATATGCTCTTAAAATTTTCGTCTGCAGATTAGGCGCAAACGCAAAATGTCTTGGAAATTATTGCGTCGCCCACTGTTCTTCCATTTAATTTCAGTCAAGAGCTTTTTGCATGTTTCTATTTGTCACCTGCAGTTTTCGATCTGTGAAGAGATTACTTAGAGCCGGTTTTTATTTTTAGTTTGAAACCTTTGACAACATCCTCAATAGTTCGCAGATCCTTACGTAAAACTTTTGATTCAAATAAATACCAGTTATACCCACTTTGGTGGGTTTTAATACAAGATTAAAAGCGTTTCTGATGTCTTACCGTCTTTGTGCTTGAGAGCCCTAAAAGTCAGAAATCTACCAATCCCTAGACGATGCCCGGCCATTTTTTATCAAAATTAGTTCCTAAGCTTAACTGAGATCATCCGACTTAAATTAGAACCAGAACACCCATAACTTTTGGACGAGCTCGTTTTGGATCTCCATTGCGCGTAAGATTCGACTAAGAAATTGGTCGCGCAAACTTCTCTCAAGGTGAATTGTAGAAGACCGCAGGGTTTGATGGACCGAAGTTAGGAAGGGGAACAAGTCGACAAGTGCCAAACGTGTGTTTACGTTGCCAATTATTTGTGATGCATTGTCGAGCCAATAGGACTCGCCATCACCATACTCTATTGATAATCGCTGCCATCGCGTCGTTCAACACACTGTCTAGTTAGCCTTCGCTTAATTTGTTTGGTATGTGGATCGTTGTCTGAGTGTTTCATATGTGTCATTATGGTTCACTAATATGGCCTTGTGTTCTCACAAAAACGCATCTACCTGATAGCGAGCGCTGTAGACTATTGCATCTGTAGTCGGTTCTAGTTTTTAAGCGAACTTCAGAACAAAGTCTGTTTTCTAAGATGGGACCTCCCTAAAACATACAACTGGTTTGTGCTCCGTCGCACTAAGGACTACTGGACGAAACCTAGTTAGTTTTGTGGTGCGCGCATAGCATATTAAAAACGATGATGGGCTGTGAACCCTGTACGTTACGTTGTAACTATACTTTGGCCAAAAGGTCTGCAATATGAATGCAACCATATATTGAGGAAGACGTAAGGATTTGCATATTGTTTTCATGATGTTGCACATTGGAGGCATTTTTCAATTAGGCCAGACTGTGCTTATCAACATTTCGTAACTGCATTGATACATTCTTCACTAGGACCTTGGACTTCCTTTGTGTAGACGTCAGTCCGAAGCCCATTGTTAAGTGAAGTCTTGCAAAACGCTCTAATACATCGCTTGGTTTGTGAATCCTCAAAATAGTCCAATACTGGGAAAAGCATATTTATTCTTCCTGGGAGGAACGCTTTTTAGACAAAAAATTTCATCTTCACATTTCTAAGAGAGTGATGTCTTGTCGGAGAAATCTCGCGTAGGTCTCAGTACCGCAGTACTTTGCAGCACTATATTATATAGTGTTTCAATTTTAATTTTTTCTGACCTTGGTGTTAAAGTGATATGCACAAAACAACAACAAAATGTCATGGATTGACTGACAAGATGCAACCGAGCTGATTATTTCGAGAACCACAGCAACAGAGGATATCGTGTGCCTCTCGAAGTCTAGTTATGGGGCGTGCGTTTTGCTAAGACCTAATGGTTTCAGTTTAGGAGTTAGTGCCAGTGGACAAAACAGGCGCTTATCCTGGCAGAATTGGACGCGTGAATAACTGCAAAGTCCCCTCAAAGCTACGCGTTGTCCTGCGCCTGAATCAGTATCAAAATGGTACTTGTCAGCAGTAGTTTTTATTTTCTACAGAATTGGAAGCTAACGAGTGGTTTGTCATGTCGAGGAAACAGCCTCGGATATGTATAAGATTATGCTTGAAATCCGCTGTGACCTTTGTAAATCCCATTCAGTTTGAAACACCAGAGATTCATTTGAGCCTTCTAATAACACCAATTGAATTCACAATTGAGTGTAGTTTACCGAATGCGTGCAAAAGAACGTGGGGTTGGTGTAAAATCTCGAGTTAATCCAACTAACAGAGGAACTGGACAAGTAAAACCAATATTTGGGTGTCTAGGAGTGTTCGGCAACCTTGCATGCCGAGAAAATATGCTAGTACGCTTTTGTCTTGGAAAATATGGTATTCACACTCATTCTCTTGTAGTTAGCTGAAGACGTCCTGCGGGTGATACTGAAGCGAGGAATTGCGATCGAATTCGCGCTCTAAGGATGATTTTTCCTAATGAAAAGCACCTATTTCGAGAGATTTTATCTTGAAAGCCCGGATTTAAATCAGATTTGAAGCTTCGGTAATTACACATTTGTGCCAAAATTTTCACTTCCGTGGAACATCGGTAGCAAGTCTTTGCCAGCATAACTTCTGAGCAACCTTACTTCGCCAATATCACATCTTATCTCGGCTTGGTCTTCTTTTGATGATATGTTCCGATCTTTCGAACGGTCCGAAATACCAAGTAAAGGCACTTTTTGGTCAATTCTCATTGACTGTCAACTAATTGTATCTGATGGTTCATTTGTGGTCGGTCTGTAAATTTATATCTACCAAAGGTTGCGTTGAGCTGGACCAGGCTGATAAAACGTATTGACGACGTGTAACAGAGCTAGAACATCTCATACTGGCTACCTGACGTTACCATGTTTGCACACACCATGATCACACCACACCTACAACGATATCAATTTTTTGTAAAAATAACATCCCCATCTTATTAGAAATGTGCATTTACTTGAGAACGTCTTTTAGCCTTCGGTTTATTTATTGTTCGTGTATGACATGGTACTAGATTGGTTACTGTTGACAACTCTGTAAGCGCCTAAAACTGTGCTTTCAAGTGTTCCTTTTAAGACAAAATAAGTCACACTGCAAATTTCACGAAGCGTTCACAAGTACTAATAATTACACACAACCATCCAATGATCAAGTTACTAAACCCTTAACTAAAGGCTCCTACATCAACTAGTCAACTCACGGATGTAGCGGATCACACGAAACGTCTCCCACTAACGCCAAACATGTGTGCAGCGCAGCGCGACTTAAAGCGGTCGCGAGCATCTGAATGTTTGGTAGGATACTTTGCACTGATCTGAGACTCTTAGAGTTGATCAAAACATCGGTTCAAAGGACTATTTTCTGTTAGGTGCATCTTGTTTCAGCAGTGAATTTAGTGGACGAGAAATCCTAAACTTTATTTTATGGGAAACCGTGCACTGAGGTCCGTTTACCACTCATTTTTATGAGTTAAGCATAGCCTGTATAATCCAGACGGAAAGTTATTAGTTCTCCCAAAGAATGCGCTGGCGAGGTAGCCACCTTGCTATACCTAAATCCTAACAACAAACGCGACCGTCAGAGTAGCAATAATCAACGTAGTCTACATTCTGTAGGCTTTTCAGTTCGCATTGTATTTCTACATAATACGGTGATGCGTGAATTCACTTTTGATATGTTAGGTTGTTAACAAAGAAGAAATTGTTCACGATAATTGTTCCTTCAGTCATTTCAACTTTCCAAAATTCACTCTCAGCTTCACTCGAGAAATGCAACTTTTGTGCAGCTCAGGGGAGCTACTGACACCAAAAAACAATCAATAATTGGCCTATTATTTTGTAATCCAATGCTTGTGGATGAACCGTTAGTCTTTTTTCTGAACACTCTCAGATTAATAGATCACACAGATGACGCTATCTATTGCACAATGCAAAATGTAAAAGTTTTGTTATTCTCAGTTTGACGTTCCAGAAAATCATCATATATCCGGTTGCCAGAAACACTCCAGAACTGGTAATGTTAGCGTTCGCTGTGCCGTTATGTGACTTGTGAAGTGCACTGTTAGAATTTTTCGTTCCTTATTATCTTTCCCATTAATAGAATGATTAAGTATTTATTATCAGGCGAAACCATTTGGGTAGCTAGTCCGAAAGCCAAAAGCTGACTCAAATCTCAGCACGATCAAGCAGAATTTACTTAAATTGCTTATACAATGTGACCGCAAAAAGACTCAAGTATTTGACTTGGCAGCCGTCAGTGATTGAGTCAGTTGATCAATAATTTGAAGAATTTGCTCCGTAAACCGGAAAAATCGGGTTGAGCTTGGACAAAAAACTAGATTACTTTCTTTTAGGCCTATTGGTTAGTGCCAGAAAAAGCAAAGACAGCAACAAGCAGAGTTATGTCTGTTGTTAGTATATCTGGTTTACCGTAGCTAAACAGGAATATACCGCCCTATCAAAAATCATTCGTATTTCTCTGCGCATATAAGGTATCCCCCAATAAAGGAGGTATGGGTGGAAGGCTTTCAGCAACTTTTCTCGCTTTGGTACCTTGGATACCTGCCAAAACAAAACGAGTCCTTATTAGATGCGGCGAATTGATGGGATCCACTGATTTCTGAACCATCCGGATGGAAACCGCTTCGAAGTAAAAAAAGTGCTTCTTGATAGCTACGATTCGGCGCGCAACCCGATACACTCCAATGGAGACCGGCATAGATTTCCACTTGGTGGTCTCTCTTAGGAGAACCACTGTGTCATATTCAAGTCAAAAAGTAGGGAAATGCGATGGGTTCCTATCTGGAATCATCGCTTTTCTTCGGAGTACGTAGTGACTTTGGGTGGCTTCAATGAACACGTGAATCATCATTTCGTGTTAAATGAGATGACCGCATGGTGTGGTAGTGTAGAAGTTCAGTCATGGTCATCCTAAGGACAAGCAAGACAACTCCTCGTGTGTCACAGTTACCAAGTACAAGAAATTGCATTACTCGATGTATGGGTGAATTTAGGCCATATTTAATGCTTGATGCCCACTGACCATTTCTGTACAGATCAGCGGTTGAGAGTTGCGCTGGGCAGCTCAAAAGACTCATTCAATGTTATAAACTGCCCCATAGGGTCTTTTGGTGATGATATCTTCTGCAAAGTGACATTTTTTGAGACCATTATTGATTTGCGCCTCAAGAGCTCATCCCAATGTTTTATCTTCTGATAAAGAGTATTTCTCCAATTGTGGTCTCCGTAGGGAGAAGGAACTCTGTACAGACTTTTTGAATCAATTTGTGATAGTTACTTTGTCCCATGTCATGGATTGATCGGTGGTTGCGATTACATTTGGCAGGTGGCAGTCAGAGAATGCAGTGCACAACGTCTCCATCGTGCTCAACTTAGACACCCAGTTTCAATTCATTTCGACAATTCTCCGCTTCAAAACCTACAGACCTGCTGCTATGTACCTAGAAAGGTCCTACGACTTTGGCCGCACTTGGAAAAAGTACGCTTATTTTTCCAACAACTGCAAACGAGACTTTCCGGCGGTACCCGAGGGAAGCAGACGTAGCCTGACGGATGTGACCTGCACGGGAGTTTACAGTCAGCTGACTCCGTCAGAAGGTGGAGTTGTAAGTGCATTAACCCTTACTTTCAGTTTTGAATAGCTTGAACTGTTGACATAAGTGGGAAAGCTGACTTTGTAGTGATTCGTTTCCATGTCATTCCACAGTCTACTGTTGTTTCCTGAGCATCCGCATAAGTAAATTTTTTGACGGTAATCAAACCAAACACAATCGAGATAAGCCGAGATATGTCAAATTTAAATACCACGCTGGCTGCTATTTTTTACTAAAAACCTGTTGTTTGGACTCTTTTTGAACCTCTAATTCAACAGCAACTAAAGGAGTCGCGTGAATGCAAACTTTGGTTCTTCTCAGTGTTTTTAGAGGCCGCCGTGTTTATTTTAGCACAAGTTATGTTTTATTATGTGGGCGTATTTTGATAATGGCCCTTGGGAAAGAAAGGTACCTAATGGCTTGCCAAGTAAACATGGTAAGGACCATCACATTGTACATTCATATGTCTCAACCCTCAAAAATACGTTGGACATATAATAACTTTACTGTAAGTGAGCTGGTACAACTTCGATGACTGAGCTCACGAATGTCACATAAGGTAGGAATCTGGAGGTGATCCCATCAGCAAGGATGAAGTGAATCAATTGGAAGCGATTTCTTCTTTCGTTCAAGTGGCTTTGGCAAATCATGCCAGATACTTAAAACACACGAGCAAGTGTCGATGATTCGCCGAAGAATGGGGCGACCAAGTCTGGCCGTATTTGCATGATGGTTACAAATGACGTTACGTGGTCTGAGGTTTCCTTTGAAACTGTAACATTTTACTTTCAGTTGGAACCATTCACGACAAAACCCTGCCAACTGTGTAGTAACCTCATTTTGATTGGAATTTCAAACTCAGCGTTACACCTCAGTCTGCTTCTCAGTGCCAAACAGGAGTGAACTAGCAAACGTTTTCTCAACAGGCAGCAGACTCTGCATTATAGTTTGGGATTCGTTATCATACAATTTACAAGCTTTAAAATCGCTTGAGTAAAGTGCAAAAGAACCTAATCTACCCCTCTCATACTTCAGGTGGCGTACATGGCAGCACCTAGTGAAATGCACGAATCTTGGCCTCAGTACAGTAAGGAACGAATGAACCTGACTGCTATCACCAACTTGCGCGCCGTGTTTACTAGGTTAAACACTCTGGGTAAGTCACTTTTCTAGCTAAACCGCATTTTCGGTGGAGGAAACTTCCTTTTTTTAACTCTAGAATGGCCGCCTTAATTTATACGTAGAGGGTTGGATGCTCACTCAACTTTGTTCTTGCTTACTGAGGGTAGTTAATGTTTCCTGGTTGAGCTGGCTTCTTAACTGGAATAAAGTACAGTTGGAGTAAGTATGCTCTGTACGCTTGAGTGATATCCGGATTCCTTTTAAAGCGAAAGTTTTGCTTGACAGAACTCCTGACCGAATGCATCTTATGAATTTCTTATACATTGCAAATATTTATTCTGTGCATATTAACTTTTCATTCTCTGTCCGGGATCATCCGGCAAGGAGGAAAGGATAAGGAGAACATGCATATTCGCCCCAGTTTCTAATCGTGATGCGCACTGGTGACGTTCACAATACTTCGTATACCATCACAAACCAAAACACCATGGAAGTGCACTTGGATGCCATTGTCGAGTAACACAACTTCTGTTACAAACTTGCTCTAGTGCCGTGAGATCTTTTCGCTCGTGAACGTAGCTTCATTACGGAACAATATTTTGTCTTCAGTCTTGGGGCAGCGTTTACCGATTGGCCATAATTTCGTGGCACAAGTCCCTCACAACAGCTTTTGTAGGGAACGAAACACGGCTAGAATTCCAAGTTTGACTTATCGTAGGTGTAACAGCACAATTAGACTCAGATGAGTAACAGTCAATTTTTACGATCCCACTCCTTAATCAAATTAAGATGCTAGACAATCTTCAACCTCCGTCGGCCACTAAGGGACGACTCTGTGTACATCCCAGGTTAAACTATGTGCAATGTGTAATCGGTACCAACGTTCTGTGTAACTACCAGCAAAGGCACTATCTGCAGATAGCTTCGATACGTTTCCGATTGGGAGTGTTTGTATAGATTGGTTCTACCCCCCCGTAATAGCGTATTTCGCCTGTCTTTGATTTCGCCCGTAAAGTGATGGCAGACTAAATTCTAACTGAAGGAAAACGTCTTCTAGGCTCCACAAATAGTTAGTGATCTCCGAAAGTGGCGCTCTTGGGGGATGATCTACAGCCTGCTAATTTTCCTAGACTTTCCCTTGACAATTTGCCTAGTAGGCGAAGGCCAGGAGACTGCTGAGGAATTTTTTAAGCAAATGTATGATAAAGGTTTTACCGAAGGATTATTTTACTTACAGTTGGGTTCTTTTCTCAACAGTGATCACTGTTGTCTGGTCTTTATGCATGTTCCTACTCGAGGAAACTGTAAATCGATGAGTCTTATTACCGTCCATAAGCGTCTCTAGGCGGACAGTCATCTTAAGCAAAGTAGACTGAACCAGGCTGTAGCTTTTGGCACCCTGTGTGTGCACATCCATAGCTTTGAGAGCCCGAAAATGACTGCATGCCGGTGTTTGTTGATCCCCTGAAATAAACACTTGTCTGCCGGTTATCGCCGGTCGAAATGGCAGACCGTAGTTGCTCTGTTTAAAAAGTAAAGAGATTCCGGTCTGACTGAATCAATTTAAACACATTCATGTGTGCATTCGTACAGTTAGATCATTATTCGGTTTGTTTGTTTATGCCTGTGTGTGCCTGCCTGCCTGTCTGCGTGCGTGCATGCATGCATGCGTCTATCTGGGTGTGCACCCATCTGGAGGTCATTCTGAAATACAACTCCGTTTCCAACGGCGCAAACGTAAAACTGTGTGCATGGCAGCATGCACGTTGGATCACACACAGTCGGCGAGCTGGATCAGTTAGTTCACCTTAAACAGCCTGCATTCATGCGCCTTATGGTGAAACTACTTCCTGTTTGAAGCCCATCGACGATGGCGATTGAGGAGCATCATTGTGCCAAACCTGAGGTCATCAACTACTGCTTCATCGGCGTCCCGAAAAGCCGCTGTTAACAATTTTGCATAGTTTGGCGCTTAGGTCATGTTATTACAAGGTACTGCGATCAACTTGAACTTGATTTGGCCAGTGATCGTTTGGCATTACAAAATATGCCATAAGTATCACGTTGTGTCACTATTTCACTTTTCTAACTGTCGTATATCCGCAATAGGGGTCAAGACATGCGTGAGAACGAAAAACGATTCCATGGCTGACATCGTCACAAAATCCTCATATACCCTAAATAATTAATTTAGCATGTGCCTTATATTTACCACAATGTAGAGATTTCAGTGAACAGAGAGCTCGGATTTCTGTACACAAGTTTTGTTAACTCTTTCACTGGGAAGCATTCCACGAATTTAGGAATTCCAGTGTAATTAGACGTGTATGGTTCAAGCATAATTATCCTCTAAACTGTCTGCTATTTCTGCCCGAATATCGCCAGCTTCTAGAACACAGTCCTGAGAGTGCTGTCGTAAAACACACCCACTCTTGAAAGGACCTGAAACTAAGAGGATACGGAAACGGTCTGTGGCGTCTTAGAAACTGAATCTCCAATCACCCCAAGCTAAGATAATGATAGGGGAGCCTAAAAATGTGAAACCCGTCTTCTAAGCAACTACAGACATTAAACGAGTGAAAATCAAATCCGGTCATGAGGAACGACACGATAATGCCGTCGACTATAAGCCGCGTGTCAATTATCCTCTTGTGAAATCTGATAAACAAAGTTATCTTAATTTATCCAGTTACTGCCTCAGTGAGGGCAGAAAACCAGTTCCCGATAAATAGATAAGTCTCATCGCAGAACACAACTTGAACTCTAAGTCTGTGTGCGTCACCCTGCAGTTGCCAACTGAACTGTTATATTCAAAGTGATTGTGGATCTGTCACGTCATGGGATCCAGAATTTGCCATAGGTCACATGAAGTTTAGAGTTCGTAGGTGGTTTCTACTGCTTCTGTTACGCACCCTTATGAGACAGGCAACTTGTTGTATGGAGTGGTCGGTTGATTTCTACCGTCATTTCCCGCAGTGCTTGAAAGCCGCTTTCTGCCTTGCCCACCAAAAATGTCATACACGGTGCTTTCCCGCGCCAATCTATATTGCTGCGTTGAACCCGATGACACACAAGAAGTTTAATCTGTGAACTCTCTCAGGGAACTTGTTGCGAGTAAAGGACCATTGACCATCCGCCGTATATCCGCCTGTCTAACCTGGCGTTTTAAAAGGTACTTGAATTGTCCTGGGGCGTGTGTATCCAAATGGTTACAGAGAGGAGCATATTTTCAGTGCACTTCATTCGAAGACGTGGAACTGCTACAATGGCTCAACAACCAAGATTCGGTCATAATTTTATAGTCTGCGAGGGAGCTCTATTTAAATCCTACGGCAAAACGCTTGAGACTAAATCAGCCTTCAATAGACAAGCTGTCAGATGATATTTTATCCTAGTCTGATGGATAAGATGAGTTCACGGCGTAATCGAGCCGAATTCCAATGATGTTCCCATCGAGATTCGTGCATATCATTGATGACTTTGCAACAAAAAGTGATGAGAGAAGATATGATGTGAACTGTTTTGTCTGGCGTCTTGTGGGACACTGTATTTCGTGCACAATGATCTTTTTAGTGATATCATAATGACCATATGAGACTGGGCACAAACGATACAAACAAATTGATGCTAGCGGTCACTAGGGCGTGCGAAATAAAGCGAGAGAACTGAAGAATGCTCTATCTCTCTCACCAAGCGAAGGACCACTTTTGCATCCCAACTGAACAGTCCATAAAGAAAGGTAACCGTATAACCACATGCACATTGACAAGAGTTGCATAGTTTACTTGCGATTGAATTCGTCCCTGGAGGCTTGTGATCTACAGAGCTGACACTGCGTACCCTGTCAACGGCAAATTGATTACACTTTTGTATGCAATGCCATAGTTTATCCGGTTCGTATTTCTCGAAAACAGTAATAGTTGACTTGTTTGGAACACCCTTCTCACGTGTTCTGTTGCGTCCGGGGAAATGAACACAATACCGATTTAAGGAGGCAATCCGTAGTAGCACACCCGAATGAAATAGAAGAGATGCTGATATATTTTACGTAGGCGCCCGATTTAACAAATGTCGATTTGGCGAAAAATCACAACAAATTGGATCAATCCATAATAATAAATAATAATGATAATCATTCATCTGTAACACCCGCTTGGTGCTTAGCTGCCATGTTACCCGAATGAAGTAAGGGTGCCAAGCTACTACCAGGTTCCTCAAGCCTATACACGAGGAGTCAAGAGGCACTGCTCGGGTTCGAACCGTGGACCTTCAGGTCAGTAAATTCGTGCTTTCACCAGTGAGTTATCTCAAGATCTGGTTTGTTTCTCGTAGTTGAAAGAATAACCATGGTTATATAGTGTGCGTTCATAAAAATACTGGGAACACGAATCGCGTGCTCTTCCGCAGAAGCAAAATCATTCAAACGCCAACCTCGCCAAATACTAACTGAATCTATCTCAAGTTAGATAAACAAATAATGTGAATAAGTTAATTACTGGCATTGGAATTCCAAATGGATTTTTTGTGTGCCACACGCGAACAGGTCCACCTCCACTGTGACGTGATTAACTGCCAAAAGGACAAATAATTCTGCGTAGCGTTAGACATTCTTAGTTCTTCGGGTCCTGTTGTGCTAACAAAATGCTCGTGAGATGCGAAACCAGGTAGACAAACTTTGTGAATCCATACATGAGTGTACTACACAAGTGCAATCACATTTTTCTGTCGCATGTGAATGCCCTGCAAACCAAGTGTGTCGTCTAACCGCGCTAATCTACGTGCTCATTAACTCTTGATAGGCACCCTTTGTGGGTAGAGTAGATTAATCTGGACAAATATACAAATATACTGCTTGAGGAAAAACGAACCTGAGCCTCTCCTGAATTGAAATGGTTTTTCCGCATATCTCAGTTATATCCGAGAAACCCAACTACTTTTAATCGTTGGCCGTGTGGACACTCAAATGCTCAAATGCCATCCCAAGTTGTCCACTGGATTGACTCCAGTCAGAAAGAAGGACTTGATGCGTGTTTT